AAGGGCCCTAAGAAGTTCTTTGACAATCTTAGGTGGAAAGGAGTTGCATGTATGCATTAGTGGATGGATGGTCCATATTGAGAATTTCACTGAAGGACAGGAAACTCCTACCCCAACCCTCACAAAAATTTTATCAACTGTGCTATAGTCTTTCACTAATATGCTTTTAATGGGGTGTTGGAACTAAGAAATAATATGGGCTCAATATATACTTCAGAATCATTTTTGAATTTTATATTTATGTTTCCATAAAATCTTTTCCCTGCTCATCATTGTTGCTAAAACATAAAAGGATCTAAAAAGGAGGAAAATAAGTGTATGACAGTATGCTGGATCACTCTGTGCAAAATGAAAAATAACTTCCTTGCCTTATGATTTGAAGAAAGGCAGGTTAAGCAAAAGGCATTTTATTCAGAGATAACATTTCACTCTTTAAAAATTATGTTCTTCCAGCAATACCATTAATAACCAGAGTCAAGAGAACAATCCAACTAAACAATTCTCAGAGTTCCTTTGTGCTAATATCGTCAGCTGTGATCAATATAGCCATATGCATTATGTTGAATTATGCATTTTAGCTAAAGATAGAAAGGACTTTCAAAAGCAGACCTTTAAACACATGCAGTTAATTTAAGCATTAGCCAAATGCAAACTGCATTTACATATCCGTTCTTCGCCATATTCACACAATCTGAAACTAATTTGTTCCTTGAAAAAAGAGGTGAGTAGTCTCTAAAAATAATTTGCTAGTTATATGAATGACTACAAAAAGATGAGGAAACATCTTCTGGCAAAGAACACCTGCTACACAAAAAGGTATATGTGTGATGGAACTTCAAAGTAAAAAAAAAATCAAACAATTTCAAAGCCTTTAATACAAACAAGAATTTTTTTAAATATGAAAGGGTTGAGGCAGTGTGTGTAGTGGAAAGAGCATTGGAGTTGCAGTCATATTGGATTGGAGACACTTTCTAGCTCACTGGCCTTAGTTTATTCACTTAACGTATGTGAAAATCAATTTCTTTACCTAAAAGTGAGGATAATAATGCATGTACTACCTATCTCTAGAAAGAAAGTACTTTATAAATCTTAGAGTCATGCTGGTAAAATATATGAGCACACTATATAAATATGAGCAAAGTGAATAGAACATGGAATTAATTTGAAGTTCCCTGGTTAGTACTCATTCAAATAAATGGTAACAGTAAAGAATGGTTTTGTTAATATTTTCCCAAAATAAACATAAATGTACATTCTCAGAACTATAACCTTAAGTTATGTCAAAATGAAAATACTTCTACAAAACAAGTGTTCCATGTTCCCAGAATTGGAAGAGACCTTAGAAGTCTTTTTATTCAAACTCTTGTCGTGCAGACGAGAAGACTGAGGTTCAGAGAAGGTAAGAGACTTGCCAAGGATCACACAACAGTCGGAATTCTAAGCTAGGTCTTTCTGACTCCAAGTCTAGCATTCTAACCACTATACTGTGTTCCCTCTTTTCACAAAAGATGAAGGCAGAAAAATAAAAATGAATGGAGAAGGAACAGAAGAATTAAACTTATTTAGCATTTATAGCACTTAGAAACTGAGGACAGCACACAGCACTTTATAATTAACCTACAACTGAGTAATTAATAACATTGTAAAAGTTGAAACTACATTGTATTAAGATGATTTTTATCAGATACTTTTAATTGTTGGAAGACACAATTTCAGAACTGTACAAGGCAAAGTATTGTTCCTTCTACTTATTTTGAGCCCAATAAGTGAAATGCTAGCTTTTAATCACAACATGTAGGGCATCAGAAAAAGTTGGTAGGGAAGAAGAAAGAGTGATTTCAGTTCCTTTGGTTTCCAAAATGGAGTTGATGGTATTTTCTTCATGAAAAGAAAGTAAAAAAGTAGAAAACATTTCTATTTCATTATATCTATTTATTTATTTTTTGTTTTGTGTATTTGGTTGGGTAATGGGGGTTAAGTGATTTGCCCAGGATTACACAGCTAGTAAGTGTTATGTGTTATGTGTCTGAGGCTGGATTTGAATTCAGGTCCTCCTGAGTCCAGGGCCAGTGCTCTATCCACTGCGTCACCTAGCTGCCCTCTTATTATATCAATTTAACAAAGACTCATTGAACTCTATGTGGAGAAATACTATTTCTAGCTGCATATGAATGAACCAGAAACAATGTAAACATTTTATTATATGGAGAGTCATTTTCATTAATGAACAAATATGGTGGTGATTGGTAATCTAAATCAATACAAAGTGTGCTGCAGGGAGAAATAATACAAGCACTTTTCATTGTCATCTAAATAATATTTTTAGTTTTTTTTTTTAGGTAATTGGGGTTAAGTGACTTGCCCTAAATAATATTTTTAAATAATTTCATATAATTCAACTACTAGTGTCCAGGAGGAGCACCTTCATTTTCATAGTACTGGTATCTCAAGTAGATCATCTAATAAATACAATATTAATGAGCAAGCCACTTAATTTCTCCTCTTTTTTTTTTTTTTGGAAAGGCCTCAGTGATGATGCAAACTTTATCATTCAGAACTCATGTTACTTTTGTGAGGCAGGAAGAGTGAGTTCTGACACAATTATATTAATACAAGAAAGAATCTGAACAATAACTATAGAGCCCACAAAAAATAATCCAACCCCAAACTAGAAAGTTTATACAAGCTGTATAAGCTCACAGTTTATCTTATTCAGCAAGTGTAGTAATGTGTACAATAGTTAGCCTTACTTGCATAGTTAAGAATTTCTTAATCATTCCAATTTATCACTTAAAAAAAGAGTGCTTACAACCAGAATGAGATTTAATTTGGGGTAGAATAAAAATGTGTATACTACATGTGTATATGTTGTATCTTCTGATTAAAATATATTCCTTGAGGGTAAGGAGCATACCATTCTTAATCTTTGTATTCCAAATGCCAAGCAGAATGCCTTAAACATTCTTTTAACACTTTGATGCATTGGTGGTCCCATCAACATGGGTACTCCTTTCAGTGATAAAATATTGCAACCCATGAGTACTTTTATTCTGTAAAACTTGACCACTAACTCCCATGAATTCTTCACAGAGGTCTACTTAACATGTTGGGGACCTGGGGGTTTGTATCTAGATCTCTTGATGGTACATGAATTCTAAAGGAGTATGTAAGCTGTCCATCAGTTACTCCTCACTACTGCTATCTGAATGCCCCTCCCCTTTTGTTCTATTATGCATCTTTTAAACAACTTCTGTATTACACTTGACTGGTAAGATATTATAGTCTACTCATGCTCACCAGGTACCTCTTCATTGCCCTCTGGGTGACCTTCAATTCTTAACTCTTCAGAGACTGTAGTATTCCATGATTCACAATCACATAGCATCACCAGAAGAATACTTTTAAGAGGAATGGGTGGACTTTTGTCTCATGAAGAAGCTTGAAGTCATTAAAAGGAATTCAATTTGTCAAAAGCAATTCAACCCACTTTCCTGTAGCTGTTCAATTCTTGGCTTAGTTCATTGTTCATCTTTGTCCATGTCTATCTAGATACCTGCCATGTACTGTTGGACCAGTACTAGGGGTTGCTCAATCAACTGGTAATCCAGGCCATAAGCATTCTTCATCCATTTGCTTTTTAAAAGTGTGGGTAGTCAGCTGTTCTCTTTTGAATGATTGTGGATCTCATTTGGGAGTCTCTATATTGTTTTAGGGTTTGATGTAATCAGCATAATGCCCTGTAAACAGGAGCATCTGGAGGATCCTCCATTTTCACTTGGCTTCTTTGCTGGATATCCTTTATGACAGTGGTTATCATCTTTGGCAAGTACACGTTTCCCTATTTTATGTGTTGCTTGATAATAAAAATTAGAGGGTTGTCAAACAAAGTTATGTTTTTGAAAAAGCATTTGATTTGCCAGAGTAAGATGCTACATGAAATAAGGATCTTCTCCAATAAGATAATTTTCATGCTTGTGTACAATTGTGTTGTCTTACTAGAGGAAAGCCTTTAAAGTAGCATTTTACTCTAGCAAATCAAATGCTTTTTTGATAGTCAATAAATCATAAATGAAATGGTACACTATATTCTTCTCACTTTTCAGTCAATAGTATGACTATAAACATAAGATCTGTTCTACAATATAATTTGCAGAAGTCTTCCTACTTTCATCAAGGATACCCATGTTGTGTGTGCAGATTACATTCATAAAAAATTTGTAGAGAGGGGAAAATAGGTATAACGGCTGGGAGTCATCAATATAGACTTGGTCACCTTTTTTGGAAATAATAAGGCCCAGGATTTTCTTCCAAGCTTCTGCTTTCAGCCCCTTTTTCAGATACCTTAGGAATTTATCCTTCAACACACTCAAAACTGTGCTGCCGTCAACAAAACATGGACTACACCTCTCAATATTCTCCGTCTAGTCCAGCTCTTCTCTTTCTCTCTGCTTTCTTTAGTAACATTTTTCCTTACTCATGCAGCACATAGGGAATGTGATGTTGAGAGTCTAAACATAAAAGTTCCATAATCATTGATAGAGAAAAGATTTCTTGCGAAACACAATGGGAATGTAAATGAAGAATCAGAACAAAAACCAAAACAGGTAATATAATTAAAAAGATAGTTCTTGTCAAGGAACAACAGAAATATAATATTTGGTTATCTAGCCTTCAAGGAAAGATATTTGTGGTTCATGAAGTGGAACCATCTAATAAAGATTATATTACAAGAGTCTATTTGATTTTTTCTTGGTTTCTAAGAATTCAACCACAGTAAATAATTAAGAGTGCAAGAAGCTTAAGGACCCAAATGAGGTACAAACATAAGAATCGAGATGCTAAATTATAGTTACTCTTGGGCATCACAAGTTCCTCTGCCCTATTCTGCAGAAAGTAGAATTTAGGCCTAATCGTAAAGTCAAACTTAGGAGAGGTGTCAATGTGGGGCTAAGAATCAACTCTTTGAAATGACAAGTAACAAGGAGTTATTTTACATGTACCTCTTTCAACTTTTAGTCTGTCCAGAATTTCATTCTTGTCTGCTAAATCAGACTTTATGGCAGTCTCCAGCTGAGCAATCTGCAGTTTAAGCTGTTGTTCCTTTAACTTCCATTGTTCTTCGTGGGTCACACTGAAGGCACTGCAATAAAACATGGGATGTGTGAGGAACGCTTGGAAATCCGTTTCAACAGAAAATACTAAAGAAAAAAAGCTTTTAGTGGCACAGAGACCACTGTCATCATGTCTTAGGAATTAAGTAAACATATGCTGGTCTGCTGCTGTTGAAACCAAGGCGCCTTTCTCAGGCTGCGGTTACGGAACATGAAAGAGTCTGTGGGATGAGCAAAGGAACTGGCCTTAATTTAGAGAGCCAAACCCAGAGAAGTTGGCAGTGTGTAACATTTGTGGGACTAGGAAAGGAATTCAGATACATACTCCAGAGGAATCCACAGCTCCAAACCTCAGCAATAGACAACTGACAAAACCATTTTTTCCCACATACAAATCCTCTTAACAGAGAAAACTGACTTCCCACCTGACTTTTTTTGAGTCTGTGAAACATGGGGAGATAAAAGGCAGTTCTTTTCAAAACCAAAACCAAAAAACCAGAAAATCCTAAAGTGTAACCACAGAATAATAACACTTTCTGTACTGAATTGAAAAAGAACAATTCTAATGCTAATTAAGAAGTATTGACAAAGCAATCTTTGTCCTTCAAATCAATAGCATGTGGACTAAGAATAAACTATTTAACTGCAATATGTATTGGGCTATAAAAATAGCATGGTGACTCTAATGATTGTTCTCCAAAATTCCTCAATATTTAGCAGTTTGAACAAGGATTAAGAACTATTAATGATTAAAAATGCTGAAGAGCTTAAATTTTTTTCATGTGCTATCCCTAAGTTATGAAGTGAACATTTCATTTTGATAACTGTTATCTCAGTGTAAAGCTATTTTCCCTAAGCTTTCACTGAGGTGCATAAGGCTAAATTAGGAAAAGTACTTAATTTGGAATCAGAGCACTACAGTTTGAATACTCCCTTGGCTACCTGTGTGACCTTCTTAAAACAAACAAACAAACAAAAACCTCTCCTATCCTCAGTTTCCTTATTGGGAGAACGAGGAAGTTAGAGGGATCTGTAAGGCCCCTTCTAGCTAATCTAGGCTGAATAATTTTCAGTAGTTTTGTCCATTCTACTTGTGCCCAATAAATTTTTTTTATCCAAAAAAACAGCAGCTTGTAAAATCTGACTTTGTAATTGCAAATGAAGTAAAAGTGAGAAAAAAATATTTTTATAAAAACTACATGTTTTTGTAAACTTTTTGTGCATACATGTGCATATTTTAATACTTCCAGACAAGTTTGGAATTTTTATTCCAAATGAAAAATTACTTAGTAAACTTACACATTTTTGGGAAGCACAAAATTCAGAAGTTAGGGCCAAATAAACACATAGTTGGTTTGTTTTCTTGGGATGGATAATTTTAAAAGATTTGAAATAATGCTTTGAAAGACAGATGCAGTTCTCTAAACTTCTCTTTGTGTATGACAGTCTAATTTTGCAACAAATATTTTCATCTCACACATACAACTTTTCCAAAGTAAAGAGATCTAAAATAGTAACATTTTGATCATTTTATTTAAATCTGTAATTGCCTGGTCTGATATAAAAACAAACATCTGTGCTCTAAATATTAAGATATAGGATGCTTCTTTACATTTCCTTTTTTAAAATAAAAGACAAAGCAAGATATATGTGCAGGCAGTTATTTTTAAATGTATACATATCTACACACATATATCTGTATCTATACATATGTGTGTATATATAGTTCTATTACTATTAAAAACATGTATAATCCAAAAAATTAACATGATATAGGCAAAATTACACGTTACATCAGACACCAAAAATTGGAAACACTAGTATTCCAATAGCATTAGTACCAGCAGAAAAATCACAAACAGCTAATCTGGCAGAAACATCAGAAGCTGTATGTGTTTAAATTAAGAACAATTTAGCAGCCTGGTTTTTCCAAACCCACAAAATACTAGTGTAAATCAGTATAAGTCAATCTGAATTTAGTCCACTGCTATCTTCCACTCTAAATTTAGGATTACATTCCACCAGAATTTCATGAGGAATTTCTTTTGAATTTACTGTATTCTTCTGTGCTTGGAGCCATCTGTGTAACTATAAATGGTGAACCACATCTGGCTCCATTTGTTTTGTAATGGCTGTGTACACGATTAGATCTGCATAAGAGAACGGTCCTTGAAAACCTTTTATTCATGAAAATGTTTTTGTATATTGCCTACAGTGACAACTAGGGAAAAAAATGCAATAATTGCTCTTTGTGCACACTTGGTTGTTCTGTTACCCTAAAGAAGTGATAAAGTATCAGGCTGTAGTCATTTACCCACTGGCGCCTGTGGTCACTGTTATGTCCATTGGCAATGATGGGCGAGCACAAAGTAGATAAATACATATTTGATTAGCAGCATAAAAATAAAAAAAACCTCAAGAATACCATTATTCTCCAGATTGTCTTTGCTAAAGGTTTTCCCTTTCCACATTTCTTCCCATAGAACAAGTTCAATTTATCCAGTCCAAGAACATTTAAAGATAGAGAAGATCTTGCTTCATGCTCTTCTCCAAATTAGTCCAACCATATGACATAATAATACTCTATCATATGAGCTACTGATACAATACTATTTAGAAAACATGTCAGGCTCTTCCATTTAATGTGAGAGAAATGATACCCAAAATGTAGATAGAGTCTGATTTGGGGAGAGAAAAACATGGGTCGTATTTGATCACATTTACTCAGAATATACTAAGCAGCAGAGAGAATAGGCATTTAGTCTTCATACATGGGAAATGGTGGCAAGAGATGGCAGAAGGTATAGACGAGTAAAGGGAACTGCTCAAGAGTTAGATGGTCTGAGATGCAACTAAAATAAGCGCCCAGGTCTTTTGAAATCATGTGAATCTACCACACTGTAAAAACCTGGTTTTCATATTTAAAATCAAATTGATATCATTTGCAAAACTAATATTTTAGCTAGTAGATACTTGGTGATAAAGTGTTATATTTGTAAGCCATAAGGCTTTAAAACTAAGCACTGCAAGTATAAAGAAAAAGACAAAAATCATCTCTGTCCTCAAATCACTGAGGATAATGATTCTCTCCAATGATGTGGATTTCTAACAAAAATTTGCCAGCAAGGCACGAGGCTCATGCCAACCATCAGTGCGAATGTTTTTATCTCATTAGATTATTTTTAAAAAAATAGATTGTAAGATAAAGAAATAGTGGGAATTTGATGTAATGGAAAAGTGCAGCTGGGTTAGGACTCAAGAAGACATAAAGGAAAAGCCTACTTTTGACACTTACTAGATGTGTGAGCCTGAGGCAAGTTGTTATGACTTCTCTAAATAAATTCCTTAAGCAACTGTATCTCTTTTGCATCTGTATCTCCAGTTCTCTGAAAGGCAGCATTGCTGGATTAGAGGAGAGAGTCAGGGTGGGCCTCAGAATTAGGAAGACCTGAGTTCAAGTTCTGACTATTACATATGCTGGCTATGTGATTCTTGGCAAATCACTTATTCTCTCAGTAGTGTAGGAAATTGTCTCAGACTAAGTCACAGAGAAGGTGCTGATGTGGACTGCTGGAATGTCCTCACAGGTGAAGTATCCATACCAAGGGAATAACAGTTCTAGTCACCATGCCAAATTGATCTACAGTGCTTAGCACACTGTCTGGCACATAGTCACCACTTAATAAATGCTTTTTCATTCACTCACTTTTCTTTCTTTTATGTTCCTTTTGTTTCTGCTAAGGAGACATTCCTGTTCACTGAGTGTTAAATGGTTTAAAATATAATGGCCTAATAAAAATGAAAGCTTATGAAATCTGAGGAGAAGAAAAAAATAGAGAATTATAAAATTTACCTGTTATATAGTTTATCATAGTTTTCCTTTAAAAGTTCCTTCTCTCTTTCCAAATCATTAATTTTATCCTGTAGCTAGAATAAGGAGAAAAATATATGTTAGTTTAAAATTATATCAGTTGATCTCCATATGGTTTTATGTTTTATTCTTGATGATTTCTAAATAGAAAGTGAATATTAATTTTACCCATTTCTTTTTAATTTAGCATTGACTTTTTATATTATTAGATAAAGGTGAAATTAACATCCCTGTTGTAATTTAATTGGAACAATGTCAATTTATGCAATGATTTATGCTATAACATTATATATCTCAATAAGTTTTTATTATTATTTTATTATTTTGTATTAACTCAAGCATAAATTTACTCTGTCCTCTCACTCCACAAGATACCAATAATACTCAGTTATTAATATCAAAATGTTTCATAAACATTTAGAAATTACAAATTTTTAGTTCATGGTTCATAAAAATTAGATAAAAATTAACCTTGGTAGTCATAATTTTTCCCTTGGTATTCGGAATTTGTAAGAGGTTTCAGGTTCTATTCTGTACAAGGAAGATACTCTATGCCTGGGTCACCAAACTATAGCCTGAGCACCAAATGCAGGCCCCTACTTGTTTCTGTGCAGCCCAAAATGGTGCTTGGTAGAAACCATAAATGTTCAGTCCATGCAATTATACTATTGCTATAATTACTTTAACATTTAGATTTCTGTGTTAGTTTCTGTCTAATTTGAATGTTTATTCAAAAATACACTCAGATGTAAGAACTTTCCCCATGAACCAGAGTGCTTTATAAAACACCTCCAACAACAAAGGATAAACATGGAACACAGTAAGATAAAAGGTCTCTTTCAAGTCACAGAACTAGGCATAATGCGTCTCAAGGACAGGAAACCATCCATTCACAGTTCTGTGACCCCTTAGGAGCAAAAAAAAAATTCAATAAAGGCTATAAATTCAGTTTGTGTCCACCTGGAGATATGGAGCATATTGCATATAGGAGGATGATGTTTCTAACTATTATTGTAATCAAATGAATGAAGTTTAGGTATTTCACACAACTAGTATTGTGCTAAAAAATCACACCAAATGGAAATAGCTACATCCATTATTATAATCACTGTCCTAATTACTTACCATCTGGACTGTTGCAATGGTTTCCTAACTAGCTTCCCCATCTCAAGTTTTTCTCCTCCCCAATCCATCCTCTATGTTGCTGTCAGAATGTCATTCCCAAAGCATAGTTCTGAGCATATCACTCTTCTGCTTATAGACCTGAAGTGGTTACCTACTACCTCTAGTATAAAATACAAAGCCCTTCACAATTTAGTTCCAGCCTACCTTATTACACACTAATAATACCTTTTAACACACTAGTTTCGTTCAATCAATAAACATTTATTAAGCACCTATTATGTGCCAGGCACTGCGCTACATACTAGGGATACAAAGACGTAAACGAGACAATTCTTTCCCTTGAGGAGCTTACAATCTATCACAGGAGACAACATGAATGCAACTATATTTATACAGCACTTACTATGTCAGCTAGGAGGTGCAGTGGATAAAGCATTGGGCTTGGCATGAAGAGTATGTGAGTTCAAATCTGACCTTAGACACTTATTAGCTGTGTGACCATGGGCAAGTTACTTAACTCATATTTGCCTCAGTTCCTCATCTGTAAAATGGGGACACAATGGGAAAGGAAATGGCAAACCACTCCAGTATCTTTGCCAAGAAGACCCCATGGACTTTGTTCCTGTGGTCACATAGAGTTGGACACAACTGAACAACAACAGGCACTGTGCCAAGCGCTTTACAAATGTTATCTAATCTGATCCTCACAATAAGCCTGGGAGGTAGGTACTATTGTTATCCTCATTTTACATATGCAGAGACTGAGGCAGACAGGGGGTAAGTGACTTGTCCAAAGTCACACAACTAGTAAGTGTCTGAGGCTGGATTTGAATCCAGGTCTTCCTGACTCTATCCACTGCATGCCCTTAACTGCCTCCTATTTTGCATATAAATACATACAAATAGCAACTTACACAAAAACAAAGACAATGGTCTCAATCTAAAAAATATTCTGCCAAACGGCTATTCCCTGTAATGACATTGTATCTTCTCTCTGTGTGCTTGTGCAAAAGTACATAGCCCACATGTCCCACATGCCCAGAATGTACTACGTCCCTCATTTCTCTTAGACACCTGGGCTTCCTTCAAAAGTTAGCTCAAGTGCCACTCCCTACTTGAGGGCTTCTGATTCACCCTTGCTGCTTGTGCATCCCCAAATGACTCTGTATTTGTTTTGTGTCTTCTTTTTATTTACTAATAAGTGTACATGATGTTTCTTCTAATAGAAGGTAAGCTCCTTAAAGCCAAGTTCTATTTCTTTTTCTTGCATTTCCAGAGCCTTACACAGAGCCTTGCACATGGTAGGTACTTCATAAATACTCACTGATCAACTGATACTTTGTAAAGATGTTCATAGGAATTTAATGGGATTCTTTCGCATTGCAAATGAGCAATGATTGCAGATGAAACAGTTAAGTCTCATAATTTGGACAGCAGTTTCAAAATTAAATGATTACTTTCAAGAAAAGTGTCTTTCTTCACAATTTGTTTTTTGGTAAGGCAATCGGAGTTAAGTGACTTGCTCAGGGTCACACAGCTAGTAAGTATCAAGTGTCTGAGGCCACATTTGAACTCAGGTCCTCCTGACTCCAAAGCCAGAGTTCTACCCTCTGCACCACCTAGCTACCCCAAGAAAAGAGTCTTAATGAAAAATGAATCAAATCAAGTGAAAGTACCATTTACTAGCATCTATTCATTCTCTATTTCTATACACAAAATGTATAAGGCTTTTGGAGGGAACATGTTTTTGTAGAGGTAGGATGGTGTAGTGGAAAACTCAATGAACTTGAAAGCAAAGTGTTGAATATGAGTCCTTGCTCTGATCCCTACTGAGGGTCTGAGTATAAGAAAGTCGTTTAACTTGAGTCTCAGTTTTTTCATTTGTACCTCATGGATTTGCTGAGAGCAAAGTGCTCTGTAAACTGTAACGTGCTATCAGATTTGTGCATTTATTATAGCATCTCTGCAGCTTTTTCTTACATCTTCTCAAAAGAGTTACTGATAAGCTTTTTAGTGAATTTGCTGACAGGATTTCCTGACACTTACCTCCCCTACCTTTTTTTCAACAAAGCTCTTAGACTGTAGTTGTTTTTCAAGACTGAAGCACTTTAAACGATGTTCTTTGAGCTGTAGGTTGAGTTCATCCCCATTTGCCAATAAGGCATCATGGCTGGCTTTAAGATGCCTTTGCTTCTATAAAGAGAAAAGAAAATCTTTTAAAATTATTGGCAAATTAAGCTTTGATTAAACTATCAACAGTCTTTTAATAATTCTACTCTTTAAGTCCAAACTAAGTAGTTTACTACTAACAACATGTATAATGCTTATTCACCATTCAGTCTACAGGAGACACTCTTAACCTAAGATTGGTCTTGAAGAAGTAATTGTCAGGTGGTATTAACACAGGTTTAATATAGGAAAAAGTGTTTTTCTCTAGCTTTTATATGCTTATGCTTTAGTCTTGATGAACGTGACCAATAAATACACTGGCCTTGGCAATTAATGTTTTTTTTAAGGTTAAATGTGATATTTTAAAATGTTGCACTAATGAACAAAAATAAGTGTTTGACTATAGATATTTTAATTGAAATGATTTGTTATCACATCAATAAAACCAGTCTTAGATGTTGACCTTTTGATTCAAATATAATTTCAATTCACTGTGAAAGATATGGAAATAATATAATTTTAAAATGGTCCCTTTATCATAATGCTTTAAATTTATTCTAGAATAGTTGAATGTCACATACTTTTGAAAGAAACATAAATGTTTACTAAAATGAATGAGCATATCCTAAATTGACTAAGTTAATCTCGACAATGTCTCACTTGTTACTGAAAAACACCTTTAATTTTTCAGCAGAACTTCAATATTAAGGCAGATGTCATTTAGAAAAGAATATGGCACCTGAGCTCCTTGTTTTAGGTCAATTACTTTTACTCTTGGTACAGTTATTAAAACTATCTTTTTCATTTAATGTCTTTTAAGTGAAGACCTCACTTTATTAATGGCACAAATCCTTCCAGTGTCCTTATAATTTAACATTTATCAAAAGAGATACATATGGTATGACAGGGAATGTATAGTGAGTACTTACTGTCAGTACTTAATATACACTTGGCAAGGGTGCCAAATTAAAAACTAAGCAATTACAAGATAACTGAATACTAAATAATTTGTGAGGGACTTCCTTTCTTAATTTCTTTTTTTTTTTTTCAATTCCTTTTTTTTTTCTTTGGCTAGGCAATGGGGTTAAGTGACTTGCCCAGGGTCACACAGCTAGTGTTATGTGTCTGAGGCTGGATTTGAACTCAGGTCCTCCTGACTCCAGGACCAGAGCTCTATCCACTGCATCACCTAGTTGCCCCTTAATTTCTTATTTTTAAAATTCATTTCAGGTTAAATTTCATTTTTTTTTCCTCCTTCTAACGTGTAGATATTTCTATCATACCTTTTCTCTAATGTGTTATTTCCTTTGTGTGCAAGACAGATTTTGGCATTTTGAGACATTCCTACATGACATTAGAATAGAGAATATGATACAATTTATGGGGACATCTTAACACCATTTACATTAATGGTAAACTTGGAGCTTTAGAAGATCCTATATTTTGCCCTAATTTAATGCTTTTCCTGTCTCCAAACTTCAAAAAGAGTACTGCTTGATTTGAATTCTGGTCATCTGGAAGGTTTTGGCATTCATAATTCCATAATTCACCATAGAGGTAGTTTTGCTACAAAGGTGGGGTCAAAATTCTTATTAAATCAACTATGGGGATATAAGAACCTCAAATATACCCATTACTAGAGATATTTATGTTTTAAACAAACACTGCTAGAACTGGATGCTCAACTAGATAAGTATGTGGTGAAATTAAGAAGTTAACACTGATGATAATAGTGTATAATTAAAACATCTACTGAACTATTCAAATTTTTTGTAAATCCAAGATATATTAGGAATGTTTAGAATTGATTTTGGGTATAAACACATGTTCTATATTCTTTTAAAGCTATGCAGTCATAGCCAATTCAGATAAAAAACAGTCAAAATGAATATCCTTTTAAGTCTCAGATGACTTATGATACATCTCTTTATTGTTCAACTCATTATATTGACAGACAGGAACTCTATTATTTTTCTACTCTAAGAATAACCAGTTTTTACATATTTGGGTTTTAGGTCATAAACAACAAATATATCAGTGAAGTAATAGAAACTCAAGTAATAAAAGGCAGCTAGCTTGAAGGTTACTGAGGTATTTGTGTGTGTATGTAAGGACAACTAGCTAGCACAACTTGTGAATGTCATTTTGATAATCTATATTATTCATACATTATCATTAAAAGCATAAATACTTCCAATTATAACAGTACCTCTTGAAGTTGGATATATTTTCCTTCCATTACTGTAAGGGCATTACTTTTCTCCATAAGCTGCTTATTAAGTTTGATCAGTTCCACATTTTCCCGAATGTTTGACCTTCACATTTTAAAAAAAGGGGAGGAGGGGAATTCAATGTAAAATACAAGGTAGAATAAAAATTTTCTTCTTAGAAAACTTTAACACACTTGTAAATTGGTTTACTATCACATTACTTCCATAATAATACACTCTTTTGGGAGTAGATTTGGCCTGTGATTTCATTGGTATAACTCTCTATATTCTTTATATATACAATTATAGGTAGCAATTAAAATTCAACTAACAATTATTCTTAATATTCATTTTATAGAACTTAAATGATTCCTTAGGTTATTAAATAAAGGAATGCACACAATATTTTACAGGGAGAAGTTTATAACGCTAATATTTTAATACACAAAAGAGACCTGTAATACTTTTCTCCTTAGATGAAAACTTGTTTTGCCATACAGTCTAGTCATCTTCTCACCACTAACCCAAACAGAGGGTGTCATTGGATTACCATTTATCGGGGTTTCCTCTTGGAACCTTAACTTTTCTAAATATTCAAGAAAAGTGACCTAGCATTTTACACTCATAATGCCCTAACACTGGCATCTAAATAAGTTGCAGATGTGCTGCATGAGATCATTTAACATCCACAGGGTATATAGAAACCCTATATGCTCCAATCCTATTTTGTATTTTCCCTACTGAGATTAAAGCAAACACAGAATTGTACAGGAAGATCTTGTAAAGGTTAATCACAGATCTAAATGAATACTTGTTTTCAAAAGACACATACACATATGGACCAGGAAAGGTGACCTAATTAAATTTGTTTTACATCTAAAAATATTAGGGGAAAATATATAACTAAATTTTGGCCTACATTTTTAAACAAAAAATATTTTTAAAATGGAAATACTAGTTTTCCTTTTGAAATGCATAATTTTTCTTATAAAATTTATCTACTGTACACGTATTGGAAAAATTGTCACAATGCCATACTGGAACCAGAAAATAGACTACAAAGCTTACACATCTGTAAACCAGCTGAGGACTTGAAATACTTAATTTTCCTCTTTGATATTTGAAAGTTCATTGTGTTTTGGCATTGGACAGTTAGTTGTCCTTACAAAGAAGAAAAACAAGCCCAAGAATCTCAGATCTAGGCAAGGTGCAGCCTTAACACAATATCAAGTATCTAATACTTCTTATTTAGTAGTTCAGCAATATATTTATTAATTTTTTTTACAATTATTTAACAAACTACTCTGCCTCCACCTAATGAAGTCTGACATGATGGAGAAATAATACAAGTTAGTGAGAGAGGTTCAATAGCAGTATGATCCAGAACTTTCAATAAAGCCTAAAGCAAAAATTTACAATTTCTGTGAAAACAAAGAAACTGAAATACTATTTTTGTGTGTTTTCCAGAATTACTAAGTTTGTTCTCTCTACAATAACATTTTTATTAGCAACCCTTGACTAAGAAAAATATAGTGTCCAAACTGGGTAACATTCAATCTGTTAACATTTTTAGTTTTTCTAATGTTTTTCTTACTTTTTAATGTACTTAAAAACTTCCATAACTATAAGATTCAGAAATATATACTCTTTGCTAATTAAAAAAAGTTGCTTTATAACAGCAAGACAAACAAAAGGAGTGAGATACATAATAAAAGCTAATATTTATATTACACTCTAAGGTTTAAAAAATGCTACATCATTTGATTCTCACAACAACCTTGTGAGGTACATTTAATTATCTTCATCTGAAAGATGAGGAAATGGAAACTTAGAGAGATTAAGTAACTTGTTCAGAGTTAGTTACTCAGCTAGTAAGGAATGAAAGCAGAACTCAAACGCGGGTTTTCTGGACTGAAGTCCAGCATTCTCACCACTCTGCTTTGCTGCCTTTCATTTGGATATGCCTCATTCCCCCCAGTCACAGTTTCTATAGAGTCATAGGAATATTAGTAAAACTTGACATTTTAAAGGCACTTTGCAGTGTACAAAGCACTTCACATATGCCATCTTATTCAATCTGCATAATAATTCTGCAAGAATTTTTATTCCAGTCTCACAGTTAAGGAACTGATTCTCTGAGAAGTGAAGTGACTCGCTCAAGGCCATCTAGCTAGTAAGAGGTGCTGCTGAGATTTGAACCCAGGGCCACTGGGTCTGAATTGACTGTTCTTGTTAACTATAATTAATTTTTTTGAATATCAGGGAAACAGGTACAATATTTCAGAAAGTTTTAGTACTTCAGCTATAGTGCCCTGCTAACAGTAGATATTTAATGCTCGTTGTTGGTGAATTTGTCTTAGTTGAAAATAATATAAATAATATAGTTTAGAACTATGTCACTTGGAAATAAAAGGTATGAGCATTTAATACAGCTACTTTGGGATAAGTACAATGAAAATTATGTTCAATCCCTCTAAGCCTGAGGTGTTTTGAAAAAAAAATGGTAGGTTTTTTTCCCCCTAAGTTTGAAGTACAGTTTTAATTGTTGAATATATGTATTTTTTGGACACAAAAGTATGAAAATATGGCTTTATTTGCACTGTAAGGCTTTCTAGCTGAGAGCATTAAACTGCTTACATTAAGCATGAGGTATCCCAAAAGTTTTAGTGCAGTTTTAATCCTTAATTTAAAACCACACTATGACTTTTTGGAACACCCTATATTTAAAGTTAAAATCAATGTGATAACATAGGCTCATATTTATATGAATTTGAGGCCTGGGGAAGATCACATACAGTATCATATTCTTTATGCTCCACACCCAAGATTTTTATAGTACTAAAATCTGATTAACATGAAGGGCAGTCTTTAAAGGGAAAAAAGATAGAAAATTCAATTAAATGAGTATTTAAGTGTCTACTCTATGTAATAATATCAAACATTTATATGACACTTTAAGGTTTGCAAAGCACTTTATACACATCTCATTTAAGCTTGACACCAACATTTTAAGGTATTAAGGTATATTAAAGGATGTGCATTATCTTCATCCGACAGATGTGGAAATAGGGGTAAGATGAACATGGTCACTACAATTCAGTGTTGGAGGCGGGATTTGAATCCAACTGTCTTTTCTAATTCTAGTGCTCTCTCCACTATAACTACACTGTCTGGCCATTGTGCAATGAATGAATGAATTAGCATTTTTTAAGTGCTTAACTCTAAGGATACAAATGCAAAAGCAAGCCAGTCTCTGCTCTTCAAGGCGATCACATTTTAATATGGGAACAATATAGAAAGTTTCAGCATGGGAGACAAAAAGATGAAAATAACAGTTGTCACAAAAAGGCAACATGTGTCAGAGAGTTAGGATTAGTTAGTTAAAGTGCCCTGCTTGAATGTACGTATGTGAGTGCCCAGTGTTTTGAGGACTACTTACTTATATCATTATAGTTAGCCTTACTCTAGGACAATCCTGGTCCTATAAATCCATAAGGCTAGAGATGATATCTGTAGAATTAGTATATCACTAAAGTTAGATGAACTGTAGTTAATAGCTAAAGCAGAAAGCACTGACCCACTCCAAAGTAAATATGATGAGAATATCACATAGATTTAGAGCATTCCTCAGAAGGAAAGAATAATACATTTAGAAAATCTTATTTATCTATGTATAAAGATGAATCATTATGGAGAAATTTCAGTTATGGAGACATTTCTTTAAAATAGATTAAGAGTGTGCTATCTTTTTACAAAATTTCATTTCTCAGTTATTTCAACATGACTTTTGAAAATGCTATGAGTAATTGTTACTTGAAGAATTATCTACTTGCAAAATGTAGTTTTTCCTTTCTCTTCTTCTCTAGAAGGCAGACAGTAATGATTAAGAAGTGTGCCAAAAGGATCTAAAACTATGAGAATAGTTGTTTGCACTGCTCTACATTCAAAACGAGCTGAATTAAATTAGATTTTATACTGAAAAAAAATGTCCTGGACTAACAACTTGTATGCCAAGTTTCCAATAATCTCAAACAATCAAGTTAAAAAATTCTAAAACAAGTAATTTCTACTGGGTACATTGAAAAACACTTGATTAAAGACTGTAGCTTTGCTACTGGGTGCCACAATAATCAAAAAAGGTGAGCCTTATTAAATATCGTCTACAAGATGAAAGCTTAAGAAGTAATATTTTTTGTTCTTTCATATGTCACAAAAGAAAAAAAGGGGCTTCAGTGTCACATGCTTTAAGAATGCACCACTGTAGTTGGACTGTATTTCTACAAGCCCTGGATATGCTAGACTGAGACATGAATGCTATAGTCTGCCATTTAGGAGAGGGTGCTTAAAGGACAAACTGAATTGTACGTATGAAGGACAAACGTGATGCTGTAGGCTAATGGAAAACAGCTGCAGTAGGGGAGACAACCTGACATTTAGATATAAAAAAGAGTAGTCATTTTTTAATAACTGTATCAAGCTATCTGTTAAGTCCAAAAATACCACTGAAGTCTTCTCTTTCTGAAAAAAACAAAATAAAATATATATATTCACTTGTCTGTGTTCATGTTGTTTTCCTCTAACAGAATGCAAAATTCTTGAGAGTAAGGATTATCTCATTGTTTATCCCTAGTATTTAGTATAATGTCTAGGACAAAGTAACTGTCTTTTAAAAAATCTTTGCTGAATTAAATTCGCTGAAAATTAAAGTGTCCACTACAGTGGTTGTAGTCAGTGATCAAATGTCTGTCTTCATATGTGCACAATAATTTTAAAAACTGGTTAATCACTGTCAAGAGTACTATCTTTGCATATCAATGAAAGGGGTACATAGGCTAGCTTACCCAAGTCTGCTCTTAGCCTTAATGAATTTCCCTTCATGTAATCTGGAAAGTCCATTTGCAAAGGCAATGGTTTCACCTGTTACAGATGAAATAGGTTCCTTCTTTGACTTAGAAGTTACATGAATTGGTAATGCTTTACTTAACACTCATCCCTTAATCACAGGAATCCAATGTATTTTGACAAACCTGTTAAGTCCAAAATTGGTTGCTTTCACTGTCAACTTGGGAAAAGGTAGGATGCTTCTCTTGACTCTTCTATACGCA